CAAACATTTGCTACAAAAGGATTTATACGAAATAGACCCTTAATTATGAGGGTGTAAACGAGGCTTTCTTTCGTGCCTTCATCAGGCAGGAAGTATGTAGCCTCATTTGTGGCATAGATCTAAAAATAGATTAAGTTGTAGCTCCATTTTTTCGTAGATCCTTTTATTTCTGGTGTGTGTTAAGCATTACAATCTCAGAGGCCACTGTGTCAACATGTTTATTTCTGTTACTGTTTGATTGGTAACACTTTAAATTTAGATTGCAGCAGAAAACATTCATTTAAACACAGAACCAGATCCATAAGGGACCTGTTTGCAAGTGTTTGTCTATTTGCATAAGAGATGTACTAAAGGTAACAGTAGCATATTCAACCATATTGAACTATATAAATATCCACTGCGTTCAGAGACTGGCAGGTTGCAGTAGCTGTGCAGGCAACGTGTGCATCACCAGCGATCCGGATTGTCACGAGCACAGATGGAAAAACAAATGAACAGAAATGTGTCCTGGAGTATAATTATGCATTGTAAGCTGTTCATGTTATCAGATTTGCAGATGGAGGTAACATATGCGCAGAGATATATGCTATCACCGTGTAAAATTTACAGATGGAGTTAATATCACAGCACAGGCATTACAACACCACGAGCTGATGTGTTGATGTGGTGTGGTCAGTACACTGGGCAGCTGGCAGCTTCCAGCTCTCATCATGATGGGGGAGGCATCATCTTGCTTAGCTCTTGTTTATACAGAGGAAGTTGAATCTATCTGTCTGTTGGTTTGTCAGACTCTCCTCCCCGGCGGGCTGAGGTGTGTGACAGAGAGATGGAGCCTGGACTGGCAGAGTGAGAGCGGACTGTCTCTCTGTAATGAATATAAATGGGCTCCAGGTCTCTCTCTCCTAGTCTGGCTCCCCCTCCATGAAAGCAGGCAGGATGGAAGTGGCCCATCCTCCTCCCCTCCCTCTTGACATATGCTTGCACACTTGCTGCATTGCACATACAGAACATACAAATGTGCACCTTTTGTGGTGATAGGTCTGCTGTTTCTAACATCCCAGTTCAGCCAACGTGGCTAGAGTGCTATGAAACTGCATAATAGTTTCAAAGTACCTGAGTTTAAAGAGTTTGGATTTTATTAAGAATATGTGATACCAAAAGTATTAAGCTCAACCAGTAATTCTTCTTTTCCACTTCGATAAAATGCAAATCATGTTAGAAGATGTTGAAGCAAAGGAGACCAAATTCTTTATAAATTTTGGTTCCTGAGATAAAGGGACAAACTATTCTAACAGTGTAAGACATGACTATATCATGTCTTTATTGAAACAATCATAAGTCAGTTGTCGATTAGTCATTTAAGTTGAAAAATGCATTTGATAAATAAAATTTATAGATTTGTATTTTTTACTTTGTGAATTTGTATAATGGCTGAAAATTGAAAATGAAAAAATAACAAATCATAATTAACACTAGAACTCAGAAAGTGCATACCTCTGCCAAGGCCCACCTAATCATGCTCAGAAATGTCAGTCCTCTATAAACATGGCAGAAGAATTATTCAAGAAATCAAGGAAAATGTTTGCATTTTTTCTTGTTATTGCTGGGTCGCCTCCCTTTAGATCTGCACCAAAATATAACGGGATCTTCCCTGACCAATCCCACATCCTCCCACCAAGTTCTGTGGTAATCCATCCAGTAGTTCTTGCATAATCCTGCTAACCAACAGACAGACAGAGAGAAAATCAAAAACCACTTGTCATCCTACACTAAATCACAATATTGCATCAGTTGTTCTTTGTACAAAGGTGGAGTCTGTCACATACACTCATTCAATCTAATGCATCTTTGTATAGCTCATGGTGTTGAATGGCTGTTTAAACTTGAGAAAAGATACACCCTCCACTATAATCAGTATAACAACAGCCCTCAGAAATTTCTGCATTGAATCCCGGTAAGACCTCAACAAGAAAGGCTTCACAATGTAGAATCCACTGCAGGGCCTTTGTATGCATATGTATGCAATGCGATAAGCTGTTGTGTGCTTCTTGCTGCATTTGCTGGCGAGGAGATTAACACGCATTCTGCTTAGAATTCCAACTTGTTTGCTCTCTTTCTGTATTGACGTCTCGCAGCTTCGAACCCTCTTCATAATTTCCTCTACTTTTTAATCCAGCCTATGAGGTGCTGAGGAAATCCAAGTAGCTGCATCAAACACTTCAGCCCTTATCTGAAGTACAGCACCTCCATTACCTCCATGGTAGTTTTATGGCATTCGGAGGGGATACACAGTCTTTGCAAATCTCTTCCAGATGTACACTGTAATTTGACAATATTTATTATTATTATTTATTTTCTCTATGCACTGTGCATTACCACCTATTTGTCATTTTTCCCATTCACAGTGTCGTCATCTGATTTCCCATGACAAATGAACTGTCTGAAGACATTTCTACTGAGGGAAGCTGTAGATTAGCACACATCAACTCAGTCTCTCTGACGTCTTTCCTCCTGCTGCTGGTTTGTCATGAAAAGGATGAAAAAAAGATATCTTCAGTGTTACTCTGGTTAAGTGTCATCTGGGTCTATTTAGAAAGCTGTGAGGCTGTTAGCAGTGCTGCCAGTGTTGTCATGTTCTCTTAAATTGATTCCCTGTGATTACTAGGCATTCATGGTGCTCTATAAGGGACAATGTACAAGAGGAGCACTTGGAAAATTGTGCTTGGGATATGCTGTGAAACAAAGCCTGAATGATGACACACACACACGCACACACGTAGAGAAACACACACACGTGTACGCCCTCACTCACTCACATAGACTATAATTAATTGCCAGGAAGTCTCAGGTAATTTAAATTGCAAATCAGGGCAGCCTTGTTCTCCCAACTTTTGTGATTAATATTTTATTGTTTTACTGAGCGAAAATGCCACCAGTGTTTTTCATCAGATACAAATAGCACAAAAGAAGAAAAGGGGGGCGCAGAATTGAGAAAGATCAGATCCAGGCGTTATCTCTAAACATTAATTAAGCCATGTCTCAGTCTGGACCTATCGAGGTCTCAGTGTCGCCCCTGCCGTCTCCAATCCTTTCGCAAAGACAGAGGTCGCTCTCACTTTATACCTTTCTCTCATTTCTTGCTCCATCTCTTATGCACTCTTGCTCTCATACTTTGTTTTTGACAAGTTTTCCCATGCAGGTCCTGAACTTTTCTTTCAATCAGCCACTAATTAAGCAACGAAGTGGATGGTTTCTTCAGGAGATTGGGAGGATGTGCAGGTTGAGTGGGAAAAGCCAAATCCAGAGACCTTGTGATGACTTGGGTATGATATGTGTGGGGGGGAATTTGAAAGGAGCAAGGATATGAATCCAGCGGAAATGAGGGATTTAGGCACCAGAGAAATGAAGTTTTGAAACCAAACTTTCACATGTGCCTTTTTATTTCGCTTTTTTTTTTTTTTCAAGATTTTCCCACGAGGCTGCCACAAACAGAAAAGTGAGACAGGATGTGGCATTTTCAGTGCAAATCTCAATTTTAGCATTTCAGAATGAAACCTTGAATTACAGCCTCAAGCTTGTGTTTCTCCGCCAAGCAGTCAAGTAGCAGGAAATGTGGTCACAATCTCAATTCATTTCCTGAATCATGATATATTTTTGCAGAAGTTCACAATAAACTTGGATGTAATCATCAGGTCATAATTTTACCCAATTATTAAAAACGAGTGCATACATTCTTGAATGATGTCCGAAGCTGTCTTTTGTGACTTCAGATCTTTGACTACAAAAATCTATTCAGTCCATTTGAGTCCAAATTAAGAAATCTCCTCAAGGTGTTGGTGAGATATGACATGAGAAAAACATGTTTTTTGAGATCACACTAACCTTACCCTACTTGCAGAGTCAAACCTATTTGCACTGTGCTTAGTAAGTGCTTGAGAATTTAATAAATCTAAGAGAAACCAAGGAAAAAACTGACAAACATCCATTATGTCAAAGAAAGTGAAAAATGTCCTGCATCTGCCCCCTGGACTGGATCCACACCAAAATGTAATGGGACAGATACTGCATCAGGTTTCGTGATAATCCGTCCAGTAGTTCTTGTGTAATCCTGCTAACTAACAGACAGACAAACAAACAAACGCAGACGAAAACATAACTTCATTCGTGGAGAAAAAATAATCAGTGAAAGACGTATGTCGACTGTGTGATAACAAGATCCAAATCTTTTTCAAAACTTTTGAAGATGAAACTTTACGGCAGCGGAAGGGCAGGAGAATTCTGCCTAAAATATTTCCCAATGCATCCAGTGAGTAAGACTACAGTAACCCTGACCTTTGACCTATGACCTCCAAATTCTATGTAGTAAATGTGGAAGTTTTCACCCAAATTTTAAAACATTCGTAAGATACTGTGTTTCTAAGAATGGGATGGACGGACAGACAAACGTGATGCTTCCAGCCATGGGTATCAACAAGAGGCTTGAAAAAATCCAGGATACGGGTGTTTATAAAAAGAAGAATTTAAGCTTCCTTAGCCGTTGCTGCCTTTTGAAAGTACTGTGCGACCTTGTGTGTGTATTTGTATGAATATAGACTGGCAGCTGGAGATGAAAGTCTTCCGTCTTGCCCTTTCACAGTAGATGGGTGCAGCCTGGCTGGAATCAGATGGCTGGCACAGCACTCTGCTCCTCTCAAAGCAAAACAAAGACGACACCACGCGCAGATTAAGGAAGGCTTCCCTCAGTAAAGCAGAGCGCGTGCCACTGCTGTGCTCTGAATGCTGACGCCTCTTTTAAAACAAATGAATTCAGAGACCTTGTGTTCTACTAACTGGGAAATACTGCTCTATTACACTAACCATTCAATTAGAAATTGCCTTGATGTGAACAAATACAGACACGTACGCACAACAACATACACAAGGTCACACATTTTCATAGAAATGTTCCACTCGTATGAAGTCAGAGTTATTTTAATGACTGTATTTCTGTGTCCCTACAGGTTGCCCGTAGCTATTTTGGAGTCTGCGCGTCCTGTTGTACTGGATTCATCTCTCTGCAGCTCTCATTATGGCAGGTGTTGTTTAAGACGCTGCCAGCTTGACCTATAATCGTCCCTCCTCTCCTCTACACACCCTGCATCACCTCACCCAACTCCTGGCTGGTGCTCTGGCCCCATTCAGGTTCTCCCTGCATCAAGGCTGGCAATGTCCAGAGCCCCAAGCCCCCCTCCCCCCGCAGAAATGTCCAGCAGCCCCGTGGCTGAGAGCTGGTGTTACACTCAGGTGAGGAGGGATGCATGACTTGCGGATGTGTGGTGTTAGTGCTTGAATTACAGGACTCGTTCTTCTGAAGTGGTGAAAATGTTTCATATAGTGCTGTCATCAGTTTTGTGTAAATAAATGTGTATTTGATGTTATTGATCAAACACACAATCACCACTGAATAGAAAATTATACGTTTTTGAGAAATTAAAGATGTGATCACTGACTCACTGATGAATGTGTTATCCAGCTCACAGTGTATCAGCTGCTTACGAAACAGAGATTTGTATTTAGTTTTACTCAGTGTGGGACAGTTACTGTATTGAGAGCATAACACTGAGGCCTTGTCTACACTGCTGCAAATGTTTTTTGGAAAATATGAGTTTCTTCCGTGAGCTCATTCTCCTTTGGCGAGAGGCCCAAACATGGAGGAAAAAGTTTGTTTTGCAAAATATCCCCATCAGCGTTGACAAAGTGAGAAACACCTGACATGCATATGACATTATTATTCACGTACACAGCTCATGTGCCTGCTGGTGTGAACAAGAAGCAGATTGCCTACTCAAGCAGGCACATGAGTTGGTTGCTTAGTTACAGAAAGAACACCAGGAAGAAGAAGTAACAATGATCAAAAGTAAGAGCAAGGATTTGAGTGACAACGAGGTGGAACTGTTAGTGTGTCAGTAAGTCTTTGCAGCAAGTAAAGGCTGATAAGAACCAAACAGGAAGCATATGTTGATCATCCATTGAGCAGCTGAATGGACATTAACCATGTCTTGATTATCAGCATCATTTTGACATCGGTGTCATTTCACAAATGTACTTGTTGAATGGTTACCTATACTGCGAAATTGTGTTTGTTTGAGTCATTGCAGTATAAACCTTGCTAGTTCAGATATTATTCCCCTGTTAGCAGCCACAGTAGATAAAGTGTCATTGATGATATCTGTTTTTTCATCTCTGTCCTTGTTTTGTGTTTTTGTGCTGCTACTTTAACAATATCCTTTCTTCTCCCCATTCGTTTGTTGTCGGTGTTTATTTAGATGAAAGGCAGTTTTGATGTGCGGTTTTTGAAGTCCAGGCTGACCAAACACCACTTACCCATATAGAATAGATAAATATATAAATAAAGAGGTCTGGTTTCAGCCCTTCCTGTGTCCTTTCTGTGCAGATCAAAGTGGTGAAGTTCTCCTACATGTGGACCATCAACAACTTCAGCTTCTGTCGCGAGGAGATGGGAGAGGTCATCAAAAGTTCCACCTTCTCCTCAGGAGCCAACGACAAACTCAAATGGTTAGTCAAAGGCTAGTTAGTGGAGCTGTTGAAATCTATAGAGGAGATCTCTGAGAACTCACGCAGCTCTCTCAAGGGTCATTTACTTGTTGTCTTCATTCAAGAGGTAGAGCATTGCTTTTTTAGGGATTAAATTCATTAACCTCCCTTTTGCTCTAGTGATATCCTTTGTCCCTTCATATATTCTGAATCAGCAATGACGTTTACTTTTTTGTTCTTTCGGAATAATGAATTTGTGTCATTGTCAATGCCTGAATTTAAACAAATCTGGCGTTATCTTCTTTTTTTCATGTTGCATTGGCCTCAGAGTGAAAAATAAAACACATAAATACTAGGAGAAAAGTGTTAAACTTATATTCATTAATATGGTGAAACATTTTCAAATTCAATTCATACAGTCAGACGTTATTTTTCATGAAAAATGTCTGGAGATTCGGAGAAGCCTTGACCATGCCTTGAATAGAGGTATTAAGGGGGGTGCAGTGGCACCAAATTTGCCCAGAAATGGAAAAATAACATCAATTCAAGTTTCCCCAGAGCAGATTAGAGCTCTACACTTGGCATATAGAAGTATCTGTTGAGGTTGCATTAGCATCTGACTCAGATGCCTCTTGGACGCCTCCAGGAGATATTCCATTTTACATGAAAACACTGTGGGATTTTCTGGGAAAAGACAGATGATGTATTTAAGGAAACGGACATGCAGGCTACTTTGTGCTTCCAAAGTGACAAATCGATTCTAAAGATTTTGGATATTGACTGTCTTGGTTTGATTCACCTCTTCAGTATCATTTGAAGGTCTGGGACAGTGCTTGTAAGATAGAAAAAGAAAGTGTGCTCTGCATATCGAGTTGTCACAGTGATCAACCTCCCATGAAAGGCTTATGCCATGCAGCGTGATGGAATGAAAGTTCTGACCAGCAGGAAAAACTTGCGGCAATATGATTTCAGTTTGCTCTGGACAGAGTTGTGGTGGTTTGTATTGATCAGGATACTTTCTAGATGTCTTCCTGTGGAAGCAAATTCAAATGGTAGAGGATAAGAGAATATCAAAAACATGCTAGAGGGTTTACAGATTCCTCCTGGTCTGGTAATACCCTAAGATGTGAGAACCTCCTGGTGGACTTCTGCTTCTTCTGATGTCACTGTGACCTAGACATGAATGGATGGATAGATGGATGACTGGATTAATGAGGACACTTCCAAATGTTTTGTCTCAAGTGCTTTAGTGGGACCCCAGCTTCCAGATGCTTCTTATGTTAAGTAATTGTCTATATGGGCATGTGTTTCCTTTACTGTTTTTAAACTAAATAACAGCATGTGCAACCTACAAACCATATGTTACAAAGACGCTGTGCAAAGCTAGGATTGTTTTGAGTCTGCTCTCTGTAACCAAACAAACACAATGACTCAGCTGAAGCATTGATGTACCGTAACTGAGCACAGCAAATCTAAGTTATTAAATATATTGTTCGTTTACTTGGCTGACTGTATTTGTTGTCAGTTTCAGGGAGTTTAGCTAGAAAGCTAGTTGCTAACCCCCATTCAGAAAACACAGTGGGTCAAATAATCAATGTTGTGTTACAGTCTTATGATATTGGTACTCCAGAACCAGCATTTTTCTGTTGCATTTCTGAAGCAGAGGTGATCCCTTCCCTCCGTGCGCACGCTTGAGCTGTAAAATGTTTTGCTTTTGGCAGTGCAGCCTTTTGCCAGATTATTGCTGCTGCTGACAGTGAAATATTGGCATGTATTTATGTTGCTGTGTCAAAAATACTTTCCTCTTTGGTCCACAGTGTTGTACTACAGCTTTTATGAAAACCTTTGAAACTGAAAGCTTTTCATTATGGATTTACCAAATAGAGTAGGGCTTTCTTTCCAGCTCTTCTAACGGAGGTTTTTATTTTCCTACAGTCGCCTAATTTTTCATTACTACAACAATGTTATCTTTGCATACAGTTATGAAGAAAAGTGCCTCTAGGTCTCTAAGCACTGAAGCATCAGTTCACTCTTCAGCTTTATCTGTCTTACCAGTCTCTTCCTTTTCTTTCCCTCAGGTGTTTGCGTGTAAATCCTAAAGGTCTGGATGAGGAGAGCAAAGACTATCTGTCACTTTACTTGCTCTTAGTAAGCTGCCCAAAGAGTGAGGTGCGCGCCAAGTTTAAGTTTTCTATCCTCAATGCCAAGGGAGAAGAGACCAAAGCCATGGGTAAGTCAGAGCCACCAGGTCATAACCAATCCCAGGCTTAAAGGGATAGTTCACCCACAAGTGTATGAGTCCACAAAACCCTTTCAGAGTTTCAGTGGTAACAACATATCAACTATCCCTATAACTAACCAAAGTATTTAAAGGTGGGGTAAGTGATTTTAGGGAATGACTGTTGATATTTATACCGAGCACATAATAAAACAAATACTCCCCTCCCTTTACTGGTCCTTCAGAAACTCCACCCCTACATTCATGCACGTGCATTGCCAAGGCGAACCACTGATCTCAAAAAGTTCAAATTAATGTGAATAATTGTGGATAAATGTCTAAGAACCTGCCAAATAGAAACAGAGCAACCTCTTCATCTTTTGTCAGTGCTTTGAACTCTTGGTAGTCCCTCCACTGTTGGGAGGGACCACTGAACCGATGGTTATAGGGGTATGTGCCCTTTCGTTATTTCACTATCTTCTTTGTTAGCTGTAGTGTGTGGAGCTTCGGCTCATAGCATTTTGATCCCCGCTGTGAAAATGATGGGAAGTATAACAGCCTGTGACATAGCAGTAGCAGAAAGGCATTTCCAATGGCTGACTGTAGTTGTTACATTCTGAAACAGTAGTGACAGTGTATGTTATCCTCTTTTTCAGGTTGTCCTCCCATCCCTCGATAGTAGTAGGCAGATGAATGATAATTATCTTATTTAAGTTGGAACATGTGATATTTCCACATTTTTATGAATCGTTCCAAGAAAAAGGAATAGTTTTCCATTAGCATACACTGTTAATGACCATTCCCATGGAAATTTCACCTTGCCCTGTCTTGTGCATGTGCCCGAATACCCTAGTTGCTGAAAATTGTTTACCGCACCTCTAAGTCCGACTTTCAGGTCTACTTTCAGCAGAAAACTGAGGATATTACAAAGTTTCAAAGTTTCAAAATGAAAAACTCTTGTCACACCTGAGTCTTTTGGTCGGTGAAATTTGTAAATGTATGAGGTGGGGAGTGTGTCTAATACGCCAAGTGTGTCTAATAATGTGAAGTATTGATAGCCATATGGGCCTGTGTAATCACTGCCGGTTGGATTCATTTCTGGTAAATATATAATTCAAAGTAGCGTGGGGCAATTTTGATTTTAATTAAAAAAGACCCAACCTTTTTAGAAGTCTTCCTCTGCATCTCTCCTCATTGATGAATTGGAAATGAATGCGCCTCCAATTCCTGCTTTTTTAATTAGGTTATGTTATGGGGAGGAAAAGCAAACTTGTGTGGAATTGAATTAGTGAGGGCCAGATGTGACCGCTTCCTGGTTATCAGGCTTTTTGGCTTCCTCCTCTCTCCCAGTACCCTGCAGCATACTGTACAGGAAGCGTGGAAGAGGGAAAACGGTGCAGGTGGGAGGTGTGGAGAGGGGAGGAAAGGAGAGGTGGGAGGAGGAAGTGTTTTTGAATCGGAGGCATGTGCGGTGAAACTGTGTACAACCCCCTGCGGTGCAACTTGTGTAGAAAGGGAAATCATTTTTCCTGCTAAGAAACATTCCCCCACGTGAACTTGACACCCCCATCCCCCTGTGTGTGTTTTCCACCCCTCATTTGCTCACTCAGACCTCTCTCTCCTCCCTGCCACATCCATAATGTCATTTTCTTTTCCCTTTATCCCCCTTTTTTCATCTTCAGTCTTGTAATATTGAAACACCACCTCTTAATTCTCAGCAGCAGGCTCAAGAAAACTGAACCTCAGTGCAGTTTAAGTTGTTAAAGCTGTCTTTCCTGACATTATGCTGTTGGCTATGTAGTATTGTGGAGATGATTTTCCTCTGGTATGAGCAATAAACAGACCTTTGAGCTTTATGACTTCACTCCTTGGCCATTTCTTGAGCACCGCTTCCCTAAATGACCACAGAAATTCCAGAACAGGGGGAATGCTGAGTGAAGAGGCTCTCACTCTCTGATTCTCCTCTCTTTTTGTGTCCCAAGGGGCTTTTGCCGATAAATGGTGTGCTCTATGGTGCACACCGCATCCCATTCTTGCCATATGCCCTCCTCCAATCTTCACACAATCCCCTTAGGGAGACCTGGGCCCTCCACTATGGTTGCCCTGTCACAGGAGAAAATTACCCAGCTGCCAGTATATTTGTGACAGTTTAGTGAGCACTCCATCCAAGAATATGGCTGTAAAGATCACTCTATTGGTTCTGGATCATTTAGAATCCAATTAAATCCAGGCCTCTAGGAAAAAAGGCCAAATAAAAATAAAGTGCCTTAATTAAGAAAGCTAGGAGGATGTGGACTGTTTATGTGGCAGGTCCCTGTGGGGACACTTTTTAATACAATGCATATTAATTCTTTAGTTATTTAAACCAGAATAGTAAGCTAGGACAATGAGTACGTAATCAGTGTTGAAATATTTTGAAACTGTGAGCACAACATTCTGAAATATAGCAAAGCAACATTGCTTTCACAGGTGCGTGTCAGAATCGAACTGATGGAAATCCTCTGTAATAGGCTGAACATCTGAATGGCTGAAGTTTGTGTTTGAGGTGTCTGTTTGAATTTCAATCTCATGAAACTTCTGGGTGAGGCAAACTCTCACTTGCAAACCAGTCTCTGTCACTAATGGAGAAGCACTGTTACGCTTTACCCACTCTGAGAAGGTATAAATCTTGATTTTGTTGAGGATTCTGTGCGGTAGTTAAAAGAAGAGGCATAAATACAGTGGGAGATATGAAGACAGTGCTATCATGGCAGGTTCTGACTGGAAAGGGGTGACAATACTTGATGAAACACCCCATCAGCATCAGTCAGCCCTAAAGCCCCCACTAGAGAGTGTGTGTGTCTTGTGTCTGGGTCCTCTGATGGTCCGTACTTGCTAATGGAGATAGATTCAGGCAGCAATAGTACTGGCAGCCAGTCGCCCCCCCCCCCCCCTTCTCAAGACGCCGCACTACCGTACTCTCGGCTCGGCCACATCATTTCTCTCCCTGGCTTAATGTGCTGGTTTTCCTCTGGGGCTGTCGGGTGGGTTGTAACTTGTCTCTTGACACCCCCTCCTTCCTTGTCCTTTTGCCAGAGAAAACAGCTGCCCCCCTGCAGACTCCTGTTCTGACAGCTTGGAGAGGAAAGATGGAAAGTTCTCATCCTATGCCGCAAGCTGTTTTGTATTCAAATAGTCTCCTTGTTAAGTCTCCCCTACAGACAATGGTTTTTGCTTTGTTGTAGCCAAAGGCTAAGTGAGCTTATGTGTATGTGTTGGACAGAGAGTCTATCTGCAGCAGATATTTGGTGCGGGCTGCCTCTATATTTTGTAGCTGGAAATTCTGTGTTTTTTTTTTTGTTTCAGTTAATTGAAGCTCAGGGTGTGAGCTTGTCAGAGTATGTTGGCCCCGGTAACGGATGGAGGTGATCAGGCATTCTGTGTGGGTAAGTGGAGCATGGCTAATAGAGTAGAAGCTATTGGTCAGTCTCTACATAATCAGATGGTATTGACATTGGAAGAAAGAATGTCAATAGACATGTTTGTGCTGACACTAGTTTATAGAGCTCAATCTTCAATAGGGATTAGATTTTCTCTAAAAGGCTGTGTGTCATGTTTATGTGTGTATCCGCCTGCTTTATGCCAGCCAGTGTGATCACAGCGTGTATATGGGAATAAAGCTTTAACCCTTTGAATGCTGCAATAGAAATGGTCCAACAATGCCTCAATCTGTACTTTTGCTTACTTATGTATGGGATGGTATTTGGAGTACCTTAAAATGCTTCACATCTCAAAACTCTGCACAAGTCAGTAAACCATAACAAATGATAAAAGTAGTCAAATATTTAGTATGTAACAATTAGTGCAACAGTTTAGTGTCATTTTGGTGAGGGCTGACTGCACGAGTCTCAGAGAATGAGAGAGAGAGGTGAGGGGGGTGCTGTTACAAGGTAAATCTGTAAACTGTGTATGCCCATTACAAATAAATATATATAAATATATTCAATTCAGAGAATAAACCTCCTTAAAGGGAAGGATAAATGTATAAAACTATGTCTCGTAAACCCACCACTAACACGCCCAGTACATCTCAATCCCTCCCTGTTTCCACATGCACCAAGCAGATCCTGTCAGCAAAATACCAAATGCACACAGTCACTCCCTCTGCGCACTGGTCATGTAACTGCACTTTACATGATGCGTCATGGTGCACAAAAATAGTTTTTTTATTGACTAGTAATTGCAAACGTTTCCAACCACAATGTGGCCTCAATTAGAGTAATTGTAGACAGTGTGTGTCACTACTTGATTAAGTCATCTCTCATCCAAGAGGCTTCTGTAATTCAGTTGGCCAGTTCTTGTTAATCGCCAGGTCTTCCTTCACATATTGCACGTTGAAATTGTTTTATAAAAACACACAAACATATTTAACACACACGAGATATGCCTAATTTTCTGTCCTTCCTTCCTGCCATTCTGGGTCAACAGTACCACAGGTAACAAATGACGTCAATGCAAGTATACAACGGGATGAAGTTAAAGTTAGATTAATATACATTCTCATAGACTGAGGTGTTCACAGCTGATGCTTTTGCTAATTGCCCTTTCATGTCAATAGTTTGAGGGTTTGGGAAGTAGATGTGAGTGCTCAGGTCAGTGGTAGCGAGCTGAGGTGAGTGCAGGGTTTTTTGCTGAACCTGAACATGTGAAAGATAAGGCCTGAAGAGTGACAGACAGCGAGAGAGATGTTGACTCTGGCTGCTGTGTCGGCCGGCTCCCTACACACCGGCTCGTCTTCTGGTGACCTTCTCGTTCTGTGTGCCAGCCGTGCCCCCGAGCCCTCCATCTGAATATGGATGTCCTGCTCGCTTAAACGCCCTGGCATCGGTTCTGCTTTCCTTCTTCTTCTTCTTTGTCTTCTGTCTGTCTTCAGCTCAGACATGATTTTCTTTCCCACCTTTTTTATCACCTTCAGTCTTTTTTTGGCAGGGTGAGAAACTTTGCTATTCACGGCCAGGAAACTATCAAAGTGCAGCTGGCATTTACAGTGAGGTAAAAACTTGAAAATCATCTCTGTTATTAATTGAATGATGTCTACACATATCTTAATTTGTGTGATATTTCACACTAGTTTCAATTTTTTTTTCTAAATGTTGATGAAATCTATATGATCTCAACACAACTTAAACTTAACACATCTCCTAAAGTGCTCGATATTCTTTCTATATACCATTTTTTTTCATCACTCTCTTTTTTCCCCATTGGATATTTCAGTTACACCGACCCCCTCCATCACTGTCCAGCTCTTTTTTGTTTTATGGCAGAGTGGCTGCACAGCCGCCACCTTGGCGAGCTCACAGAAAGAGTGGACGCCAGCGATTTGACCTGCAGTTGATTCTCTGCCAGTGCAAGTTTCTGATGCCCCACTGGAGATGGCAGCATGACATTAGCTGAGCTCAGCACACACAGGGGCACACACACACACACACACACGCATTTCTTCGCCATGGGTATGGGCAGAAGAAGTCACACCTCCCACCGAGTCTTCAGGTTATTCTTCCAGCATTCCCTGACACTTCTTCTCATCTCTTTCTCTTTCCATCATCCCTCTACTCTTTCTTCACCTCTCCTCCAACTGGAGTTTATCTCCATTTATTGAGAAATCTTTGGAGTGTCTTTTTGAAACAGTGAAACTCCCTCTCTGTTACACATAGAGTCAAAACAATGAATTAAGTAGAGAGCTGTTAAAATTGGATATGTTATTTTTTTCTGCACTTTGCTTGAATGCAGGATTATGCAAGTGTGTGTGTGTTTGCATGGTGATTCCTCTTAGTGTCTTTGCGTACACAGTCTGTAGAGGCAGGGGATTACAGCGACGGACCCCCTGCATGAGCAGTCATGGGAATAACTGCATATGCACTGTACTCCTCCACCAATCCCTTCTTTGGCTGCCTGCTCGCTCAGATCTAAGCAGCGGATTTGACACAGGATCTTAGCATTGACACTTCATCTTAGTACTTCCCACTGTGATCTGTCAGCAGATCTCCTGTTGGGATCTCTACGCAAGAGCAGCCTGAAGAGAAGTCTGTTTGAACTGCTGGGCCTAAACACATAGTGCTGTGCACACACTGCAGATGCGTGGATGTGAGGGGTGATGACCTCTTGGTATGTGGTGACTGTGTAGCTTATAGTCGGCTCTGTCAGCTTTTAACAGGAGTCTCCTACAGCTTTGTGCCTCATGCCTCTCGTTTTTCATCATCTAGTATTAACACGTGAAAGAAATGTAGATTGTGGATGGATATTGTGTAAGTCATCTGCATGCATGTCCAACAGAATAGTGTTCAATATCATCAACTTAATGATAGAAGCATTACAAATGGATGGGTGCAGTTAGTTAAATTGGGCTCTCTGTTGTTAAGTATGTACATACAGGATCATCTTCTATACCAGGGCTCACTAATAGGCGAACTTGATCCTGACCCAGACGATCTGTCAAATTTTGACAAAGCGTTTGTATTTCACAGCTTTTCTACGGCACTGGTTTAGTTGCCCAGAAAAATCAAACAGACCAATTGCATGCTTTGTAAATCCTGACGTGACGCCACTCAGCCAATCAAAACTGTGAATTCTAAAGAGCAGTGAGTCTGAGCGAGATACACACCAGTGTGAGATGAGTGGAGGAAGAATAGACATTGATAAGAAGGCCAGCGAAAAGAAGGAGGAGGTAACTCCACATCGTTTACTTAAGACTGGACAGATTCTTACAGTTTGGTTGAGACTGTTAAGTGAAAATTAATTAACAAGGAGAAGAAACTAGGGCATTTAGTATACACGTTTATTTTTGTATTAAGTACTTAGATGAACATTGATGAATAGGACAGAGCTTTTCTTTTTTATGAAAGTACTTATTTATAATCCCTCCTGAAAACAATTATTGTTAAAATATCATTGCATTATACTTAATATGAGTTGATGATATGCATATGGTATTTCAATATATGTAGAGCTGAATCCTAATGCTAGTCAAACATTATGATATTATGATTTTCTCGATCGGAATTCCTCTGAATTTAATCGACTTCCCCTCGATACAGTTTTAATCTTCATGCTTTTTATCGTAGCGTGTTGGTCTTATATTCCATTTTATATTCAAGTTTCACAATTTTACATTTCAATTCATGATATTTCATGTATCTATGAAGATGATAACATGTGCATTAAAATAATCCTCACGCACTGTTTGAAATTGGATCCCTTGTCAGGTACATCACTCCACTATCCCTCCTAATACTCATATCCCTCTCAATGAGCTGCCTGTTGGCTTTCTGGTGGAATACAGGCACAAATGCAGATTTACATATATGGAGTTGATAAACTGGATTTAGACTGGCCACACGTTGCTTTTGCTCCCAGAATACTCTGATGAGAATCGATGAGAAGCTATTTTTGTGTTTGGATCTTCAGTGAAATTGCTCCTGGATTGTGATTCAGCTCAGTGTCAACACCATCCAGTGCATGTTAATGTTCCTGGAAAGATCGCGATTCTGCTAAAGAAACGAAAAGAATTAAAGGAAGGAAAATGTTTGTGGTTGTTCTGTTGTGCAGGGTTCATTTTCCAGTGAGGCCATTTAACCCTCTACACATAAACACATAAAATGGTAAGTTATTACTGTCGTCTGGTGGTGAGACATGTCTACACTGATAGAAACGGACGATGTCTCCACACACAGAAAGCGTCTGTGTCACTGGAGCTTGGCTCAACTGAGCACATTCAGAATTCCCAGAGCAGTGTCCAAGGAAGCATTATCTTCTCATTAACAAAATGGCAAATGATGTAATTTCTCTAAAGAATGGTGTTGCATCCCTCCAACAGAGCTCCAGTTACTTGCTGAAATTATGTGCTGTGTTTCCCCTCTATTGGCAATTAGCTTTAATTTGCTGTGATCTCTGAGGCAGTCATAGCCCGTAGCCGTTGTCTTTGGACCTTGCATTGCGAGCATTTGTGACTGTTAGGTGACTGTAGATAGCTGTGACCGCCCCCACACTGTGACTATTGTACACACAAGAACTCCGGCACCTTTCCTGTGTCTTTGTAGTGCAACTGAGTGTTACAGAATCCTTCCTGCCACTGTCAGAGATAATTGGCACTCCATAAACACATGATAATTGGACTGCTTTGATCCCTGCAATTTCTCACTTCTTGGCCAAAGAGGCACAGCAGTTCTGTCTCATGTTTACCACGAGTCTTTATGTGGCAGCGAGAGGATGGAGAGAGTGAAATAGGGAGAGAGAGATTCTGTTTTCTTCTGAAGTGTTAAAAGCTCCCTGCAGGCAATACTTCCTGCACCCAGCCTCTTTCGCCATTGTGCCTCCGCTGCTTATGGCCATGACTCATAACAAACTTTCCCTTTTTTGCGCACGTATTCATTCACACATGCAGAGTTTAATGACACTGTGAAAGTCTCCAAATAATCTTGTTTCACCTTTTTTGTGTTTCTTCTTTCGCAGAGAGCCAGAGGGCGTACCGTTTTGTCCAGGGGAAGGACTGGGGTTTCAAGAAGTTCATCAGGAGGGACTTCCTGCTAGACGAGGTCAACGGTTTGCTGCCCGATGACAAACTAACGCTGTTCTGTGAGGTAAGCATTGAGACCGAAACAAAAATTGCCCCCTGTCTTTGTTTATAAACTTCAAATCTTTCCCCTGAGAAAATCAGAGTACAGGCTGCGCAGTCAAAAGTGATAATCCTGATTATATTGCTAGATCTAAATTATTATTCATAAGGTGAGGTACCTCGACATTGCAGACAAATACAGACATCTATGAATAACCCTTAAAATTAAAAATGAGGTTGGATCACACTGATGCCGGATCGTGTTTACATTTTGAGAACTGTTTGGATTACCCCAGAATACATAATTTTAATAATAATGAATGCTGTTGAAATATCTAAATTTCTTGTTTGTAGTTGTGCTTTTGCCTTGGAGTGATCACAACTGTAATTCCTGTTTCACTCATCCTTTTATTCAATGCTCCCGCTCACTGTATGTCCCGGTTAGTGAATAATGTATGTTTTTATTGGTACTACATAGCCTCTGGGTTTAGATCTCTATCTCATTGCTAACATACAAGCTGATTGTCATGCAGCCTGCATGGTGGCTTGGCTCCGATTCCTCTGATCCAAAGCTGACTGCTGCTCCTCATAGAAAATTCCCTTGTTGTTTTTCAGCTGTAACACAGGGGGCAGCAGAGGTCAACTGTCCTCTCTCTCGCTGTCTCTCTCTGGTTCCCCTCTGCCCCTCATAGCGAGTCAGGGAGCAGAGAAGAGGTTAAACTTTCTGGATATGTTAATGCCTTAGTTGTAATGCATGCACCCATAAATGTTTAAAAAGCATGGCAGTGGCTGTTTAAAACAATTCTAATTAACCCTGCGGGTATGGAGGAGAGCATGTCTTGAAGTTTTTCCTTTTTGTAGTGGAGCAATGTGCAAGTCTGTTTAAAGTGTTTCCAAACTGGGCTTATTGACAGAGGGGTGGGAGGGGGAGCGCTGCTTCTCCAGAGCCGTGTGGGATGGGGGAGTAGAGGCATATGTGTGTGTGTGTGTGTGTGTATATCTTACGCATGCATAGTGTGTATTTCTGCAGGCGTGTCTCATCGGGATGTAATTTTGAGGATGAGGTTATCTGCTGGAGAGAATGAACTGGAAGAGAGAGGAATTAGTTTCCTTGCTGAGTCCTCTCATCCACTCTCCTGAAAGGGGGTTGGTGTGGGGCGGAGGTTCATCTCCTTGGTGGCCGCCCCCCCCCGTAGATAATATCAGCTGCACTGTAATAAGCCAGCCCTGCTGATGAACAAGGCAAGCAAACTTGATTTATATAGGACGTTCTATACACAAGCAAAAAACATCGATATGGTTAATATAAAAACTACAACGGTAAAAAAAGGAAAGCAGATAATTAAAAAGATGGAGAATATTTTCCGTATTTGAAAGAACTCTCAGGTGCTGTGGTCAAAGTTTACTGAACAGTGTATGTGGCGTAATACATATATTTTTTTATTCAGGAAACCAAACAGCACCAGATGACCTGCGAGGTCTAAAGAGTTCATATTGTTAAAAAGAGTCTGAGATGTGAAAAATAAACACACAGCACTGTTTGAAATCAATTTGAAAACATACTGGAAGGCACTGTGTTGGGAAAAAAAGGAGGATGTTATGTGCAGAAAATTATGAGATTGCCAATAGTGAGGTCTGGTAGAGTTTTCAACGAACACGTGGGCAGGACTGTTGGCAAAGTTAGTGAATTGGAAGGGGTGCGGCAGGCGGATGGTGGTAAGTAAGTGTGGAGTGGGTGTTTGAATCTCTTTTCTTGGTCTTTTTCCATGTAAAGTGAAGCCCAGTGTTTACCGTCAGAGACCTGGCTCTGCTCTCGTCCAGATGGTCCTGTCCTGCATCTGAGAGAACCCTGTCGCCCCAGAGCCCAGCTCTCTCTCTTCTCCCTTCTCTTACTTCCTCCACTTTCTCTTTTTCCTCTCCATCTTATCTCTCATTCAAACCCAGTCTCCTCCTCCTCCTCCTCTTCCTCCTCCTCTTTTCCTTTTCCTTTTCCTTTCATCTCCCACTACCTCCAACTTTGAGCATCCCAGTTTCCTACTTTTTTTCCTCCCCTCACCTCTCTCTCATGTCCCTTATCTCTCCCTTCTGCTCTGCCTCTCTTCATTTTCCTCTTCCCTCTTCTGCCCTCTTTCGTCACCCGTCTTTATTCGGATAGTGTCAAAGAGGCGAAAAGGCTGTAAGGAGAGGCCAGATCACTGTGAGAGGGGGATACCGGCTCAACCTCTCCTCCTGACCCATGGTCCCTGTAGTCTGTTCAGTTGCCTCTGGAGACATTAGTAATTCAAATTTAGCACTGGGAATCTGGCTATATGTCATGTCGGAGAGGGCCTGAACAACACCAGCTGCCACTCCGTCTCTCTCTTTGTATCTCTCTTTGTCTCCATTTCTTTTTCTCTCTCCGTCGCTGCCAAAGCGCTGCAGACACCTGCAGGTATTTAATGAGGATATAGCTCACATTAAAGGTGCTGCGCTAGCTGTCAAAAGAGGGCATGAGGGACGGCGAAAGATAAAGAAGAAGTGGAAGGAAACACAGTGGGAAGAGTTTGAAGGAAAGGCCCTTTCCCGTAAAAGTGTGCACGCTGGGTGGCATGGAGCAGAGGGGGTGAAGAACAGACAAAGAATATATAGTAAAGATTATACAGGATGAAAAACAAAAGGGCAGGATGGTTTGGATTTGATTAGTGGATGTATTCATGTGGATGTGGACGTTTTTACCTTTTTTTCTCATTCCTCCTCTAATGAGACATAGAGGCCAAGGATGTTAAATCCTCTCTCTCTCTCTTCACCTCACACCTCTCTTCCCCTGTCAGCACCGCAGGTAACTGCTTTGCTTTCTAGCTGTTCTTGCTCGAGGTAAGGCAGGGGTTGTTGAAGTTTTCCATACCAGCCCCACACGTGGGGACCCATATGGCTCCTGGAAAATCTCACCAACTTTGTGCTGTCGTGTTGACTGACGCTGCACAGGTTAGGGCTCTGGAAGTCTTGTTTGAAGGGAGAAGTTTATGGTGAAACTTGTCTGTCAGTCACGTTAAATTGGCTGGTGAAAAGCAGAGGAACAGTCCCTTCAGAAGTCGAGTCAGAGAGTTACAGCTGCTGGACACATCTGGTTTATTTCACAGAGGAGGACCTCTCCTCCCCTCCAGTCTGCCGTGGCTTCAGGAGCCACATGTAAGAAGAGAACTAACCCTCCCTGTATCCAGCCTGTAGACACAACACAGGGTTATTACTCTACTTGAGCCATCTTAAGTCACACTTTATCTGTCTTCCTGTCAGCTAAGGACATACTAATGAATTGATGTCCACATAAAATCACAAAGTCCGAAAACAAATTCCCAACAATGTTACTGAAATTAATTCTGAAGTAGATGGTCAAAATGTGCTGGTTTTGTTTCTAATAAAGTAGCCTCCATAATAAAAGCTCTTTACCTTCAGTGGCCCTACTTTCCCCCCCGTATTATGTGCATATTGATTTGACTGTAGACTGGAATGGGAATGGATACAATCAGCACTCCCTCCCGGGTCAAATGACTGCAGTAGACATAGGTTTTAATCGACTCCGATCGGCAGTGATAGAAACATGATGATCGGGCAAACCCTCTAATTGTGAAAGACAGCGAGGTGAGTGAGCACCTTAGTTGTCAGTGTGTTAGTGGCATCGAACATGACTCACCGGGGGGGGGGAATGGAAAACTTGTCTACTGGCGTTGGGAAAGGAGACAAAAGTTTTTTTCATCATTGACTTGTCATGTTATATCACAATGTCTCAAATTTGCATAATGCACGCCTGACGACTGGTCTGGCACCCCCCCCCAACAAAGTCAGGTGAAGCGAAAGCAAAGCCGACATTTACACGGGCTGAAAGCAGTTGACCAATCACAACAGAGTGGGCCAGCTGGCCAATCAGAACAGACTGGGCTTTAGTGGGAGGGAGGCCAGAGACAGGAGCCAAAAACAAGTGTTTCAGACAGAGGCTGAAAAGAGGAGCTGCAGCAATGGACAGTGTGAGGAAAGTGGTGTGTTTTCTGAACATTGGAGAATATGAACCTCTTCAAGTAATAAACCAAATTAAAATAATCACCCTGAATATGAACATAATATGTCTCCTGGTGGCCATAACCTAAATCTTCCCTCTTACAATTTTTGCCAATTCCAATCCAGAGACACAATCCTCCTACTATTCTGCCTGGTACTGTGACTCACAATGTCATGTGTGGTTTCATGTGATGGACAGGGTTAGATTGTTATCCGATATCAAATTTGACAGCAGAATTTATTTATAAAGCCTCAAGTTCAAAATGATTCATCACAGCTGCTAGAGGGAGGAATAGTGATATAAAATTGTAAAATGCCGCACATATCCTACTTGGCATAGGATATATGATAACTAAACAGGGACACAATCATAACCTTCATAACTGTGCCTTAAAGGTGAAATTATATTTGAAATGAAGTCATTGTCATACATTTTTTCAGGGAGTACAATTATAGACTTTAGTAACTGTAGGGTGTGTTGTACAAAAAGAGGCAAAGAGCTTTGTTCAGTTGCATGTACTGCTAGTATTCATGTATAGTGTGATAAGCAGTCGTGCAGGCTTATGCACCGCTGTGAAACACAAAAGGGTGAATAGTGCATGAGGATCAGTGCCTGCATGTGCAAGTTGGAAGATGAGCCAGTGTTTTTCTCCTGATTGATTTATTTTCTGCACATACTCTATCTTTGATGCAATTTACTGTAATGCATTACGACTTATGTCTTGGCCACTGCTCACCGGTCGGAGGTCTTTTCTTAAAGGCTCCTCCACCGTGTCCCTCCTGGGGAGCGGTGGCAGCGGGAGAATAAATGAGTGGGGTGCTGATGTTCAGCTGTTTCCTCCTCTTCCTCATAGTGTTAGTGCGGCTTGCCTCTCCTGTCGGTGGGTAAGCACTTTGCTGGGTGACAGCACCCATCCTTCACAGGGCCCTGCCATATGCTGTGCTGCTGTCAGAGGAGACGACTGCAGATGCTCCAGCTGCTCCCTCCCCACA